ACCTTACCTTGACGAATTGAACGATGAGCTCCAACCAAGGTAAGAACAACTGCTCTTTCGTCGATTGCAATATTAGGGCAAGGTAGGAGAATTTTATATTTAATTGGTATTTGATGTAAATAATTGGATGTGTAGGGGTTTTTACGTAATTTCACAGGCAAAATTGAGGGCAAAATTGGCATAAACAGTATGGGATTAAAATATCAGGACCCCAAGGCGGGATTTTTTTATCGCCCAATAAATGATAACTTTGACAACCGTACATGCCACATGGATGACACATCACACCAATCCTGTCCTAATCCTGTAATGTAAATAACGGATAAACGGGATAATTTACTTTATCATATCCTGTCCCCCAAAGTAAACGGGCCCTTGGAGTTTTGTACTATCCAACTCTCCCTTTTTTTTTTTTTTCTTTCATTTTCTCCTGTTTTTTGTTTTGTTGTAAGGATAAGTTGTGATCTGTAAATCTCCTTATCATCTATAATATATTGTATGCTGATTATTAATGAGGTTAGGCAGCTTGTTTCTGTTCTCCTATTTTTCCATCTTTTTTTTTTTTTTTTTGGTTATCTGGTTTGGTTTCACCACTGTAAATTTAGGGCTGCAAACGAGCCGAGTTCATCATTGGCCTTATCGAGCAAAATGCTCGAGCTCGACTCGATAAAAAATTACAATAGCTCGAGCTCGACTCGAAATCAAAGTGCTCGAGCTCGACTCGAAAATTTTTAAGTGGAAATGTAAAATTACCATTAAGTACCTATACTAATATATAATCAAGGGTATTTTAGTAATTTAACGTGTATCTTGAGCTGCTCGACAAGGCAAAATATGGGCTCGAGCTCGAGTCGAGTTTTGACTCGAGCGGCTCGTGTCGAGTTTTGACTCGAGCTGCTCGATTCATTTGCAACCATAACTGTAATGATACTACTCTTTGCATGCATGAATGATACTACTCTCTGCTGAGTTTTGGACAATCACTAGATCTTCCTTCACTTCACTATTATTGAAGTTGTTGATGTTTAAAGCATAAAGACACGCATTCAAACTAAGATAACATATATAACTTAAAAAAAAAAATTGTAACACAGTTAGTAATGAAGCTGAAGCTCTCAAAGATTGCAAATGCTCAGCTCATTCATTACTGATAGATAGATGGATAGATATGCGCGCATTAACTATTTATTTATTTTTTTAGCATATACCCCCCAGTAGCCTCTGAAAAAACATCAATAACATCCCCATCCTCAATCCCCAAATCACGGGCCGTGTGCGACTCGCGAATGCGCAACCCGTCAAAGGTGTAACGGAGGAGGGGATAAATGAGGTTGAAAAAATCACAGAAATCTAGCATTATACGCCTCAATGGGTCGTCCATGTGGATCGTGAAACTTCGAGACTGCTGCCCAGTTTGTCCGCCGCGGTCAATTTGGATCTTAACCGTTATTGGGCCGTCTCTCTCTTGCTTAACCTTTGCACTTGCCATGCCAAACAAGGATTCTATTGTAGATGATTTAAAAAAGAAACGGGCAAGGACAATGAAAATCTAGTTAGCAGTACAAATTAGGCACACATGACATGAGTAGTTAGTTTTTATAGTGTAAAAGGGGAAGTCAGGTGGGGTTGATGATGTCGTTTGGCTTCTCGGTTTCAATTTTTATATCATCACTCCAGATGATTAAATAAATGTCACCTAATTAATTAGGTAGTAATTGAATACGACCAGTGGAAGTGCATGAATCATATTTATGAAATATTGTTGCCATCCAACGATGAAGCTCGGATGAAGTGATTGAGATCTATGAATTTGGACAGCAATAGAAGAAAACCGAAAAGACGATACAGGATGCCGATTTCTTGGTGTATTTGTATTCTTGTACCTGTTCGGTTTTAACGAAATCTCTATCATTAAAAAAACATACTCAGTATATTTTCAACTGGTTGGGGTCTAAGAGGTCAGTTGTACGCATACCTTACCCTTGTAATTATACAGACTGTTTCCGTAGCGACCCAAGGTACATTGCTGTCGTTTGATATATTTTTTTTAGAAGTTTCACTAATAGAAGAAGCACTTGAATTTAATTGAATCATTTTGATCTAGCCCATTATTAGCACTATGTCAAGAGAATTGTCAATAATGACTCTTATAGCCCAACTCCATTTGCAATGAACAAAGATCTCTATCATTGAAAAAAAAATAAAAAAAAATGATGATGGATAATAAACATGCCAAGAATATATTTAAATAAAATGTATCCAAATGCATGTCTAATTATAAGACATGAACAAATAACTAAACAGATGAAAAGAACGAAACAACTGCAGACAATCAGCACAGGCACAAATGCATAAAAAACACGAGTCTCATTGAAAGAAATCCGATAGAGATCTTAACATCATCTCATTATCAAATAACGAAAACAGACAGAAATAGGAAAAAAAAAAAACAAACCAACAATATTCGAAGAGAAAATGACCAAACTAGTAATTGGAAACAAAGGCAGTCAACTGGAGACATTATTATTCTTCTTCCTCAGCCTCTTCTAGCCATTTCACGAACGGCTCCAACGCCTTCACAAATGATTGTCTACAACCAAAAATTAAAAACCCACAATGTGTTCAAAACATTAGATGCATAAAATATAACACCGCGAAAATAATAATAATAATAATAATAATAATAATAATAATAATAATAATAATAATAATAATAATAATAATAATAAATCAGACGAATCCAACTAAAACAAAGGCACAACTAGGGCTGCAAACGAGCCAAGTCGAGTCGAGCATTAGCCTTATCGAGCAGGATTTGAGTTTTTTTGTTTTTTTAAGCTGCTCGAGCTCGATTTTTTAGGCTCGAGTTCGAATCAATAAAAAATTACAATAGCTCTAGCTGAGCTCGAGCTCGACTCGAAATCAAAATGCTCAAGCTCGGCTCGAGTTCAACTTAAAAAAATTTAAGTAGAAAGGTAAAATTACCATTAAGCACCTATGCTAATATATATAATTAGGGGTATTTTAGTAATTTAACATGTATCTAAAGCCGCTCGACAAAGCAAATATGGGCTCGAGCTCGACTCTAATTCGTGCTCAAGCCGCTAGAGCTCGACTCGAGTTCGGTCAAACTCGAGCTCGAGCCGAGCTTTGACTCGAGCGCTCGCGAGCCGCTCGATTCTTTTACATCATTGACATGAGTTTTGGTCAAAAGCTTTCCCCTCTTAGAATAAAACCAGCTCCGGGAGAACCAAAAAATATTCAACAAGCAACAACTTTTTAAAGTCTTAGCCCCTTTTTCAACGAGCAACAAATTTTGAAGTCCAAATGAACATCTATAGTAAGCATCTGGCGAACAGCTAAATGCTTGGAGTGGCAGGGTGTAGTTACAGATAGACTAAAAGAAAAAAAAAAACTATCCTCTCTTAATATCTAGTTACACAAAGAGAGAGAGAGAGAGAGAGAGAGAGAGAGAGAGATAAAAGAAAAAAAAAAACTATCCTCTCTTAATATCACAAAGAGAGAGAGAGAGAGAGAGAGAGTATACCTGCCCTTGAGGTTTGTTCCTTTGCGGAACCAGTGAAGAATGGTATCTTCTGCAAGAACATCCTGATCATAAAGGGACCTTATTATGTCAGGAAACAGTTTCATGAGTTTAGCATCTTCATAGCACTGGACCTGAACTTTGTATATAAGCTCAAGCTCCAGCTTCCCAGTGGTGCAGAAGGCATTTAGCAACTTGGCCCACATTCTTACCTGAGCACAAGAAGAGCATATTTCAAAATGACTTGCTTTTTTTCAGTAAATACAATCCACTCTATCAAGAAAAATGTGCAGCATAAGAAAAGTGTCTAGGTGGGGAAAAAGGGATCCAGGTCGACTAATAGAGTAGTAGTTACGTGGTATGAGGGTCATATTTTTCAACTCGAGATATTAATAATGTAAAGCAATTTAACATATAAACATAAGCAATTCAACAAATGCAAATAGAAATCAATAACCGCATTACCAACTAATTCATACAAATTAAAAAATAAACGGCAGCTATTATCAAATTAGCATCTCATAGCAAAATCTAAACACGAGTACTTAACCCATATCTAGCATTGTCAAACTAAAAACCCAGAAAAAAAAGACATCTAGAATGATGTTGAACCATACCTGACGCAGGGCAGAGTTGGCATTCTGCTGCTGATTTTTTCCAGACCACTGCACAGCATCCATCAGGACATCCCAAAGAATTCTCACAACCTCAATATCTGGGAATTTAGAATCTTTAACATGCTGTTTCACAGTTTCGATTACTTCAGCCACATCAGCTTCTTCTGCTATCTGACTTGTGATTGCAGATTTCATTTCCTTCAACTTCACATCAAATATCTTCTTTTCATTGTACTCAACCAATGGTAGAAGCCCTTCCTTACTGGGGACAACATAATCCATTGATCATTAGATAAACTTTAAATTCCAATATGATAATTTCTCTTCAGAGAACACGGCAAGGAATTGTATGCATTTCTTTTCATCATCTCATACTGCTTATTAGAAAATTTTCTGCAAACAGTTACTAGAACGGGATGACATGCTCAGCACACACATAGTGTTGCTTTCAGTTTTTATGTAAGCCAATGTCACACAATGATTGACTTGTCTGCATTAAGTTTGACGGTGGGGACATACACACATACACACGTGATATATTTATATATATTCCGGATTGTTCTCTCCGAAAAATCAATAAGATTGAAAGCATTCTGAGGAACTCCATAAATAACGGAACGCATTTGTTGTTACTTTGTACAGACTTCTTACATCTTATTAGAGTTAAAGAAACAAATGAATTCTAGTTCCTTATTGCAATCATGAGAAGCCGGCATAAGCACCAAAATACAGTTAAGCTGGATTTCTTTAATATTAACATGCAGATGAAGACTGAGAATGGAAGATCATACTTTTCAGAGTGAACCTAACATGACCACTAAACACAGCCAAATCTAGCAATATCCGAACTGACCTCAACATGTCAGATCATGAGCAATATGCAAAAATATATAACAAACAACCAACATATGCAGCATTTATCAGGCCCATACATAGACGCATGTATGTGCTGGGGCCTGTGGATGGACTCTACTTATTCCACAAATATCAGTTGAATTGTTAATGAGAGGAGGAGGCACTTACGTGAAATGTTCAGATACAGCTTCAGGTGTCCTCTTTGCAGAAGGGAAAAAGTCAAGAAGATTGTCCTCCATTTTGCCCCTCTTCAGAATAGAGATGAGGTCATCAATGCTATTATCGACCAGATACTCCCTGAAAAAATCAGTGACAAACGAGAGAACCAGCCCTTTGGCTACAAGGTTATCTTTGAGCAGTGGCTGGAGAACAGTCTCCGGCGGGAGACCGGACAACTTCTGTGAAAAGGCAAGCGCGGTGAAAATTGCAAGTTTCTTCCTCTCATCCTCTTCGAAAAGTTCCAAAGATTGCAAGTATTTTTGCATGACATTTTCAAGATTCTTGATGAGAAAAGGCCTTCTCCTCAAGATTTTCTGCACATAGATCACGGACGGCAGAATGACTTCACGGCTAGGCTCACCAGCAAGTATGGAGTATGGATGGCACTCCCCCTCATCAAGTTTGATTGTACCAGGTTGTGTACGAGCCCCTCTGAAGACAACCTGGATTCATGGGGAAAAAAATTAACCAAGGTAGTAATAAGGCGTGCCGAGTTTATTTACATACCAAAAACAGGGGAAATTCATCTCCAAGATAACTGTGTTTTTTAACATTCAAATGCTGAAAGCATTTACAAAAACCATAGGAAGGAGATGAAGACTGTTAGTACAGTTCTATAACGATAGAAAGAGGCCTCATTGTTTGTGCGTTGTCTCAAATTTATACCACAGCCCATTACATAATAACTCAACCACAGAAAATATCAGGTGGAGTACTACCTCGAAAAATTAAGATAAGAAAAGCAAACTACACTGTTATAATTCCATGGAATAGGGCCAAAAAAAAAAAAAAGAGTAAAAGCATACACATCAATGTAAATATAGTGCTTCTAGATTCAGGACTATTGAGTGACGTCACACTAACAGCAACAAAATATAAACTAACCTCGAAGAAGGTATCCCCATATCTTGAGAAATTAAGGTCCGAAGACTCAAGACTCTTTGCTACAAGTTCCTGGACATTGACATCAATTACCACTTACGATCAAATACTAGTTAAAAACTGACCCCTGTTAAAGATAGTCAAGATGCAGCCCATTTGTTAACTGAAAAATCACACAAAAACTAAGAAGTACCAGATCACCAGCATTATCCAAATAAATCTGGACCACTGCATCCGAAAATGCTGCAGGGTCCAGAGGCGCAGCAATGTTCCGTTTGCGGGTCTTAATCCGCGTGCCTCTGCAATGAAATTATAGGTCCAATAACCATACATCAGTATGTCAGGATAATTAGTGTGGTCAAATGGTAGTTACATTGTACTTAGTGGCCTAGGTTGTGTGTTCAGGCAGGCTAATAATCAGGTTGTAATTAGTTTAACCTAACAGTTACCAAGTCGATTGATTAGGTTGTAATTGAGTTGTATATATATAAGAAATCACTAATGGGAAAACAAACAGCTTTAGATCTCAATATCCTTTTTTTTTCAAAGATCCAGATAAGTATAAATAATACTGATCAACTTGACTACTTGAGGCATCGTGAGAAATTAAAACGCATATATCATTTGAAGGGGCTAAAACGACTACTCAAAAGGTTATCAAGGACAAACAAAAAAGATGAAGTACAAACAAATAATTAAACTAGCAAACTGCATTAAAATAAGTAAAAGCACAAAGAAAATACTTTCAGAATCTATCAACAAATAAAAATGTTCTTAATAAGCCCGATCAAAGGAAACATCAGGCAACTGCAAATAATATTATATCCAACGTTTGATGACAACTATAATTGGACACTTTTCTCAAAAGCTGTCAAGTAACTTACCCGAGAGTGGGCTTCTCCTTCGAGCTGCACGGAAAGAAGAAAAAGACAACTGAATTAGGATATTTGCCGCATCTCCAAACATAAATAACGATGCGAAAATACAAGATAAAGTGATCTTCCCATCACGTTAACAGATTAATCTCCTCTATTTATAAAATGATTAGATTACTAAACAAGTCTAAACAAGCAAACCCTTTTTAGCTAAATCAATCTACGGCAATCAAACGATGATAAATCAAGATCAAATTATCATCTTTCACAAACTCGAAGCAACAACCACAATTGATTTATAACAATAACCACAAATGATTGATCATAATAACCACAAATGATTGATAATAACGTTACTTATCTCATAAAATGAAAATCTGAGATCTGAGCCACCAGATCTGATTACGAAAACCTAAAGGCAGTGAATCAAAAATCGCAGCAAAATTAATTAACGAAGGGATCAACGGCCTCACCTCATAAACCGAATTTAGCTGAAACGGCGATAGGGCAGAGTCTGTAGAGACTCTCACGACGCAGAGGAAAAAGTTTAGAGAGAGAGAGAGAGAGAGAGGTGAGATAGAGAGAGACAGAAAAAGGGGAAGAGAGGCGAATTTAATATATATAATAATGAGATGTGAAAAGGGTACAGAAAATTAGAAACGAAAACACCGCAAGTACAATTAGTCGTGTGTAGAAGAGTAGGGACAAGTGTTATAGCAAGAGAGATTGTGCTTTGTGATTACAAGTATTTTTGGATTGGATTACTATTAATACAATTAAATAAAATAAAATAATTAGAGAATTAGCAAAAATTACAGGGTGTCGGGAAATCTGATCAAATTCTTAATCTTTATTGAACGCTTATTTGTTCGATTACTTGATTCAACAAGTCTATATACATTTATAACTATATTCTCAATAATTATTCGCAACATAAACGACAAATTCGTTCAATTAAATAGCGTCGGAGCCTGTTT